CATATGAAACAAACATGTTCAGTGTAATAATGAACATAAAAAGCACAGTAACGTTTCCAAGAAAAGCTTATTCTGAGGGAAATTCGAGCAAGTGAGCGCTTGCGCAGCTAGCCTTGACTCATTCAGGAAGCCAAGTGCTCAACAGTTGCCATCCTTCAGTCCGGAGACACACTCCTGGTCTGTGGTCCATGGTGGCTCAAGGGTCCACTGCAGCAGCAGGGTCTAAGCCACTTCCCTGCTGCAGGGACGCAGTGCCTGAGGCCCACAACTGAAAAAAGAGCAGATGCGGGCGCCCAGCTCAGTCTTCAGGCTGCAGGTCATGTAGCACAAGGGCCTGGGCACAGGAGAGCAGCTCACAACTGTCATGTGGGAAGCGAAGGTCAAAGGGACAGGAGCCAGAGGCAGTGTTCAGGCCACGCCTCTGGTGGCCCCACCCTAGCCGTGCCCCACCCCAAAGGCAAGCCTGGGCAGTGGACCAAGCTGGTGATGAGCACAGTGCCCTGGTGGTCCGCTGTCCTCGCGGAAGCCCCCCTTCTGGACATTGAAGATTTAGGGGCCCCTCTAGATCCAGGCGATAAAGAGCAGTACTGCTCTACTAACTGAGAAATGCTCGCGGGCCGGCGGTGACAGCGGAGCGCGCCCTTTGGCAGCTCAACACAAGCTAAAGGTGGGTTTCCAGTCTCCTGAGCCCCGTGGCACTTCCCTGCCGTGCCCTGCATGGCCTCAGAGAGCGGCTGGCGCAGGCGGTCAGCGGTAGCTGCTTCACACAGAGGCGTGCAACTTACACTGACGAATGAGTTAGGTAGGAAGGCAGCTCAGGCCTGCGCGAGACATGCGGAGCGGCAGCTAAACAGTAAATTCAAATAATTATGTTTTTGAAATAATGATATAATAACACATTTGTTTTTTATTTCCTAATAAAACTCACTGTTAAATTAATTAGTTGCAAAATAGGCGATTATAAAAATGGAAAAAGTAAAGCTGTTGAAAGCACATCGTTTCTCAGAGAAAGGTTAATTCTTAGAACACAGCTCATTATTTTTGAAATGTTTTTTATTTATTGTAATTTTATTTAAATGACATTTAAATTTATAATTATCATTTTTGGAAGAAAGGACAAATTAAGTTGCACAGGGTGACTTGCTTTAGGATTGTATTACTCAAAGTTACTCATAAAATGCTTTTTTAAAACTTCTTGTTTTTTAGTGCTGTGGATGCATTTAGAAAAAAGGAGAATCGTGCAGCAGTTAAAATCCAAAGCTGGTTTAGGGGCTGTCAAGTCCGGGCATATATCAGGTATAGTGATTTACCACAAAAATGCTTTTCTCAGAAAATGTAATTTATTCGTGTGATTATTTCAAGTAATCTTTTATTTTACTCATGAAGAAGGTATGAGATTAAATTGGCTTTAAAGGAAATACACAGTAAATCTGATTTTTCTTACCAAATATTTATCATAGCTCTACTTTTTTATGCATTTGGTACAGGGGATACAGGGTCTCACTACACAGATTTGACTCATACTGGTCTCCTGTTTTCAGCCTCCCAAGTCCTGGGATTACAGGCGCCACATCATGCCCAGTCTCAATTGCCATCTCAGCGCTGCAGGGGTAGGGCCAGCGGGATCGAACCCCACCCGCTGCATTCTGCCTAAGCGGGTGCTGAGCTACCAGGCTGGTCCTCATATCTCCTCTTTTAATAATTCTTAAAAGTACAGATAGAATTACTTGATCAGATCTTTTTCCTAAGTTCTATAGGTGGTATTGAGTAACTGCGTTCTCATTTAGGGCCGTAAGTTCAGCCATGGTAGGACAGGCCAGAGGAGCCCTTCCCATCCGGTGACATGGTGGCAGGGCTGAGTGGCTGATGGCCAAGCGATGCCATTCAGATTGTGCCAGAAGACCAAGACCTTTTTCTCTCTTGATTCATCCTTCTTTTTCCTTAGTCCAAACATTCTCTCACACTCCTTTGAATTCTGAAAAGAAGATATTCCAGGATAAGGAAGAGGGAAGGACAGGCCCAGTGCGTGATGATTTAGAGCACACAGAGGGTTGCATTTATGGCGCTTCCCTGCACTGTGCCACGGAAGCGAGCCAGGAGAAGGTCAAGTGTGCGAGGAGGCCTGCTTCTGGCCGCTGTGTAAGGTAGGAGCATGGCAGGAAAGGCATTGCTAAGTGAGCAGACTAACGTGATGTTGGTTCAGCGCATGAAGGACTGCAAGGTAGCGGTAAAGAAGGGGCTTATTTCCTGACCTCAAGAGCTCGTTCTGAGTCCTTTTTAGAATTTGCATCAATCATAATATTGAATGTTAGGACAATAACACAAGTCATAGCGACCTTTGAACATATTTTTAAGATAGGAACGGCGATACACACATGTAATCTCAGAGCTGGGGAGGCTGAAGCATGAGGATCACTACAAGTTTGAGGCCAAAATACAATACAAAGCAAAACAAAAACATTTTAATAGTAAGTGATGGATGCAGACTAATTGAAATTATTCTTTCATTGTAAGCCAAAAAGAAATAATGAATAGTTACTTACACCCTTTTTAGTACTTCTGGAAAACATATATCTATGTCAAAATGATAGCTTCTGGCTCTTTAAACATATTGATAAATTTATCTTTGAGTTTGCTATCTTGAACTATAGGAGACTATATGCTAAACAGAGCGTTCAGGAACATTCCTGAGCAAGGCATGGTGACTCTGGTCTGCAATTCTTGCTACTCTGGAGGCTGAGGCAAGAGGTTCACAAGTTCAAGCCCAGCCAGGACACTTAGACTTTGTCTCAGAATAATAATAATCATCATCATCATAATAATAATAATGATGAAAGGAGCTGGGAATGTAACTTAGTGTTAGAGCGCTTGCCTAGCAGATTGAACTGAGTTCAATTTCCAATATGGATGAAAGAAAAATAAAAGAATAAAAAGACACTCCTGTTTCAATGAATGTACTAACATACGTTTTTTATCCTAGGCATTTACACAGAGTAGCAATAATTATTCAAAAATGGTGGAGAGGTTACTTAAGCAGAAAACACTATCAGCTTACCGTGGAGGTGAGTATTAGACTTACATGCGCCATTTGAGCCCTTCGATGTGCACCGTATTAGCTTCAGTTGTGTCCACATGCAGTATGGGGATTGCTGGTGATAAGTGTTTGTATAGGGACAACATTTGGTTTAATTTTTGCTAAGGAGCCATGAGAAGCTTCCCAGCCTTTTCCACCAACACTTGATGGACTTGCTTGCCCACACCTACCCCAGGTATTTTACTTTTGTTTAAAGGACCTCTGACAGCATCAACAATTATATTGCCTGTGTGCTGGTGATTGTCTGTCTGTACTTGCTAGACACCCTGGGCTTTGAGGAGCAAGACTGTGCCTGTCCTTGGGTCACCACTTCTGAGTGTGGCACAAAGCTCATCACATCATCAGTAACTATCCTCATAAGGACGCTGAAGTGCTAGAAGCAAACATTGCACACTTTTCATAATCGCTTCAGGACTTTCCACAAAATTTGGCTTTATAGATGTAAATAAGACCTAAATGAATGAATGACTGATAGTTCTAAATGATTTCTTTGAAAATTATATGTATTTATAGATATATCATGAGAGTATTTGCTGTTAATACCATTGGAAAGCAAAATGATTATGTGGTGTCTTTGTTCTAGTTATTATTAAGTAAGCACATTCTATTTGCATTTTTCATAGATAATTTAGCACATATGTGCACCATGATACTCATGAAGAGGTATTCTAATGGTGGGCTGCAGGACCATGCCTCATACACTTGTCCATAAACACACTGAACCATGTTTTGTCTACATGGGCGCCCTACAATTGTTATACATTTTTTTGAATTTATGGTCATTCTGTGATAATCACAACATCTTTTGGTAAAGCTCCAGCAGGACATCCTGGGCCTCATTCTTGTTGAATTTTCCTATGGTGCCTGCTCTGCGTTGAACTAATGCTCAGTTACGTGCACAGAATGAGCGCCTGCGCCATGGCCGCTGCTGATGCTCCGCTCTCCTGCAGAGGCTGGAAGAGAAGCTTACCTACCTATCACTTGTCGGTGGCGCAGTCATGTCTTACCGCTTTTCCTCTTGATTTTGGGTAAATGTTGTTGCAAAACCTAGCTTTGACTCCGAAGTCAAGTGCCTCTGTTTCTCTTTCTGTTTCACATTTTGGAAAGGAAAAACTGGGAGAAAAAGGAAACTATCAGTTCCCAGGACAAGGTTGCTCAGGGGTTGTGCTTGCCTGGATGCTGGTGGTATTTTACCTTTATCCTGAATATGTGAGTCCTGGAGATTCCTTTTCATCTGGTGTACGTGCAGCCCACCCTTACTGTTCACATAAACATACAGAGAAGTAAATAGTGTGTGGGCTAAAATGGATGGGCACCCTATGTCTCTCTGAACTTAAATATTATACTTAATGGAGAATTTAATTCTTTATGTGGACCCATTGTATCCTCCAAAATGGAAAGCTACAGTCATATATAGTGCTTCTATTATATCAGATTTCTTTTTTTCTCTTGTTCTTGTTTTTTTTTTTTTTTTTTTTTTTGTGGTACCAGGGATTGAACTCAGGACCTTGTGTTTGCCAAGCAGGCACTTGTTCCACTGAGCTACCTGCATGGCCACTACATCAGATTTCTATTGTGATGCTTAATACAGTTTTCCAGACTCCAGTTTTCTTACTCTTTTCCTTTTCTTTTGTCTTTCTGCTTTGTGGCTTTTCATTTTTAGCAGGAATATATCTTAGAGCACCATTTTAGGGAGCCCAAATCTCATTTTGGCCAATAATTGCTTGCACTAACTTTGGTTATTTAAAGTAGTAGATCTGGAGTTTCCACATCTTAAGCTTGCTATTTTTCTCTTGTGAAACAAAAGTTATCTAAACACAGTGTATATATAGTCTTTTACATCAAACTTTGGTGTACTTAGTTTAGCGAGCAATAGTGATTTTTCTTTTTTCTTAAGACAGGGTCTCACTATGTAGCCCAGGCTGGCCTTGAACTCACAGTGATCTTCCTGTCTCAGCCTCCTGAGTGCTGGCTGAGGTTACAGGCATGTGCCACTATACCTGGCCAAGCAATAGTGATTTTTGCCTAAATTAATCATTATTATATTTATCAAAGAGTAATTTTTTAGCCCCACAATTTCTTATGTGCTTAATTCCTAGCATTCTATTGTAAGAGTTTTTACTTCAGTCCCACTTATTTATGTATCCATTTATTTATATCAATTTGAACTTATAGATTCCTATTTATTAAATTTTCATTAGTACTTATTTGCCATACATGGTGATCAGGTTCATTACAGGTAATTTGCACCTGAACATAATCCATCTTAATTTTTTTCTTCCCATCCCTCTTCCCTCCTTTCAACCTTTCTTTTTATTCAATGTATAATATTCAATCACTGTCATTAGTAGCTTTGATACTCAGAGATTCCCACATTTGCATGCACCATCTGCTATGCCATCTTGGCCTTTGAGCCAGCATGCCACAGACTAAACTCACTCCAGCTGTGAACCTCAACAAACCTCTGGTCCTTTAAGTTACAGATGTTGGCTGCTTTGTCCCAGGGATAAGGTAACTAGTACAGGAAATTGGGAACAAGAGTGGGTAGCCGCTGGGACTGTACTTGACCGCGTGGCTTAGTATCTCTGGGAACTGGTTTGAGGGAGTTCCTTGGGAAGATTTGAAGCTGCAGACTAGTAAAGCTGTACAGCACTGTGATCAGTGCTTGATGCATGACACTGGTCAGAGATCATCTAAAATGCTGATGAGAATGCAGACCATAGTGACCAGGCGTAGGATGTTTCAGATGGGAGCAAGGATTTGTAGTTGCTCTAGGTGCCATATGTGTTGTGCTCTAGCAAAAATTTGTCTTTATTTTGTGTAGGACCAGAAACTTTGTAGGAGACTGAGAGGAAGGGCAACAGACTAAGAAACACGATGGTGGAAATTTCAAGGCAGTGTAGTCTTCAGGTTGTGGCGCTGGTACTATTGGTTGCTGTCAACCAGTTTTATGGTGAGAACCAGGAACAAAAGCAGAACTGAATGATGTGAAGCTTGCACAAAGAGGAAGCAGGCTTATAAACTTGGAGCAAAAGAGAGTGTGGTCACTGAAAAGATTAGCACTAAAAAGAAGTCAAATACTACCCTTCTGAGACTCAAAGATATAAAAGAGTAAAGAGAATTTTCTTTTCAAGACTTTGTTTCCCTAAGACAACCCAAGGGAACTCTGTTCCAGCAGTAGCATGTCGGGAACTGGTTCTCTGGGATTCATGTCGCTGCGCTCAGCCATCAGGCACTCAGAGACCTCTGCAGCTATAGTTAAAGGGGGCTTGGCTGTTGTGCAAGCTGGTGGCTGGCCTTAGCACTAGCCATGCACAGGTGGTCTTGTAGACGTGCAGAATACAAGGGTAATGGTGGCTGTGGAGGTTTCCATCCAGTTTTCAGTACAAAGCCTCAAAATTCAAGCAAAAAGTATATGACAGGTTTGGTGTACACAAACAGCTCTTGAAGCATGGAGCTGCAGGCACAAAGATTGAAGAGCAGAGCTGCAAGAGTGAAGGCGAAAGCACATGGAGACCCCAGCAAGTCGGAGGTGCCAGGAGTGCAGAAGCTCTGGTGAAGGAAAGTGCAGACAGTGCCCAGAGCCAACCCAAAGCGAGGCCATGTGACCCACAATGACACTGCCACAGGGCACGGCTGTCCAAAGCTGCCGTGCTCAAGTCTCGCCACAACCTGCCCCAGTGCTGGCATGGAGCTGCAGGAGTTACTGTCTGTCCTCCTGGGTTTCGGTCTTGCTTTGATCCATCTCTTTTCTACCTAACCCCTTATTCCTTCTTTTTGAAATTGGAACAATTACTGTTTGCTATTGTGTGCATAGACTTATAGCTAAGAGTTTGCTCTGTCTCAGATGAGATTTTGAACGGGAACTTTGCAGCAATGCTGGTGCCGCTAAGACTCTGACAGCTCTTAGAAATGTGCTGAATGAAGTTTTGCATAATTGATGAACATGAGGCATCCGAGGAGCAGACATGGAATGTGATATCAAAAGTGTCCCCCAGAAGTCTCACACTCAGGTGCAGAGCCTGCGTAGAAGGGGTGGATCACGAGGGGTGTGACTTGGCAGGGCCATTGCCATCCTGGGCCCACGCTTCTTTCTGCTTACTGTCCGCCTGCATGGGAGCGGCTTCGCTTCACCGTCCCATTCTGCCATGCTGCTTCAGCCTCGGAGCCAGCCAGCCATGGCATGCACCCACAAAACTGAGAGCCCAGGGGAACCTCTCCTCTAAGCTCAGGTGTGCGGAAGGCGACCAGGCAGTAGTTAACTTGGAAGTCTGTATTTATTCTAATGACACTAGGGCTGCTAGAAAAAAATGTTATCAATTTTAATAATAAGGCATGTAAGAAAATTCGTTTTGTTACATTATTCTTTCAGTCAGGTTTGATCAAGAGTATCCCTCTGGATGATCAGCCGGTCATCTAATTTTATCTTTTGATTGTTTGGGTAAAGGTCAACATATGGAGCTTGGCCTCAATTCATTTTTTCATAGTTTTTATATCTGCTTAGCTTTCAATTTCTTGATAATTGGTCTGTTTTGTTTATTTTTAGCACTATTACATAAACAGTGCCTAGCACACAAAATGAAATGTACTTATCAACTGTATAGTCTTATTCCAAGCCTATGAATATCATCACTATTTTATAGATAAAGACACTTATGCTCTGATTACTTCTCTTGGGACACACAGTGATAGGTGAAGACAAACTCAAACTCAATTTGATTTGATTCACAGAACTCTATATGAGCAGGTAGGCGAGTCAGTCTCAATCATTATTCAAGATTTTCCTTCTTTTAGATATTCAGAGATCTTATAGGACTTAAGTAATGAGAACATATCAGAGATTTCTATCTTCTACAGCCTTTACTGAAATATCCCTGCTGTCTGCAGCCATATCTTTGATCCTGCCAGGTTCACTCTTCCAGGCTTGTGGGCCATGTCAAAGCACTGGGACTGGACCAGTGCTGGTAT